CCTGGAAAATAGATCCAGGAGAGATAATTTAAGACTTATTAAACTACCTGAAAGTCATGATCAGAGAAAGAGTCTAGACATTATATTTCAAGAGATTATCAAGGAAAACTGCCCTGATATCTTAACTCCAGAGGGTAAAATAGAAATTGATAGAATCCACTGATCATCTCCTAAAGGAGTTTATGTAGACAGAGGGCATGAGTGTAAGTTGATTGTGTTAGAATGAACTCCAAAAAAATGAAGGAGTGAGAAAGAGGGATGCACTAGGAGAACAAGGAAGGGAGAGGGAGAATGGGGAAAATTTTCTCACATAAAAGAGATGTGAAAGGATGAGCTTTTACAGTAGAGGGAAAATCAAGGGGTAGGCTGGACAATGATTAAAACCTACTTTCACTGGAATTTGTTCAAAGAAGTAGGAACACACACACACACACACTCAGTTGTGTAAAAAAAAAAAATGTAACTTACCCAATAGGGAAATAGGAGGGGAAGGGATAAGATAAAAGGGAGGGGGATTATGAATAGGAGGGCCAATTAAGGGAATCAATGGTTGGAAGAAAAATAAAATTTTGAGGAGGAACATGATAAAACCAGAGAGGGAGGAAGAAACAGAAGATAATGGGATGGATGAAAATACATAGTAATCCTAACTGAATGTAAATGGGATGAGCTCACTCATAAAATGGAAACAGATACTAGAATGGATTTGGAACCAGAATCCAACAATGTATTGTTTATAAGAGACACACTAGAAACAGAAAGACAAGTACAGAATTAAATAGAGAACTGGAGAAGAATCCAATATGCTTCACCTAAAATAAAAAAGGTAAGGGTAGCAATCATGATCTCAGACAAAGTACAAGCAAAAATAGACCTAATTAAAAGAAATAATCAGGACATTACATTTTGCCAAAAAGGTACCATAGACAATGTAGTAATATTTTTTTAAAAATACAGCAAATTTCTCTGATAAGGATTTCATTTCTCAAATATATAGAGTATAGAACTGATTTAAATTTATAAAAATGAGAGCTATTTCCCAATTGATAAATAGTCAACAGGAAGTTTTCAGAAGAAGAAATCAAATCTACTTGTAGTCATACTAAAAATGCTCTAAATCATTAGTGATTAGAGCAATGCAAATTAAAACAGCTTTGAGGTATTACCTCACACCTATCACAAATGACAAATGCTAGAGGGGGGAAAATAAGTACACTAATGAACTGCTGATGGATTAATGAAATGTTCCAGCCATTCTGGAGAACAATTTGGAACTATGCTCAAATGACTATATAACTTTGCATACCATTTGACCCAGTAATATCTGGGTAGACTACTAGATCTGTGTCCCAAAGAAAACAAGGAGAAAGGAAAATGACCTATATATACAAAAATACTTACAGCAGCTCCTTTTGTGGTAGCAAGGAATTGGGAATGAAAGGGATGCTCATGAGTTGGGTAATGCATTAACAAGTTGTGGCATATGATTGTGAGGGACTACTATTGTGCTGTAAGAGATGATGAGGGGGTATTTCAGAAAAACTTGGGAAGACCTATATGAACTGATGCACAATGAAATGAGAAGAATCGGCAGATCATTTTTGCCCAGTAATAGTGATACTGCAATGTTGATCAGCTGTGGAAGATTTGGCCACTCTGTTCTACACAATAGTATATCCAAGAGAATTCACAGGACTCATGATGAAAAATGCTATGCTCCTCTACAGAGAGAACTGATGAACTTTGAATTGAAATTGAAGTATAATTTTTTTTACTTTATTTTTCTTGCTTTATTTTGAAATATGGATAATATGGAAACATGTTTTCCATGATATCAAATGTATAATTGATATCATATTGCTTGACTTCTCAATGGGTGGGCAAAGCAGTGGGACATAGGGAGAGAATTTGGAATTCAAAATTCAGAGAAAAAAATGTTAAAAATAAATAAAAACTTAAAAAAAAAGACTGGGAAGCTAGGTGGATGTTAGGTTATGAAGAGCTCTGAATGTTTTTGTATTTGATCCTGGAGGCAATGGGAGATCACTAGAGTTCATTGAGTAGGGTGTGTGTGACATAGTTAGATTTGCACTTTAGGAAAATCACTTTAATGGCTGAATGGATGATGGATTGAAATAGGGAGAGACTTGAGGCAGAAAGATCCACCAGCAGGCTATCATAATAATCCAGGTGTGTGATGATGAAAGCTTTCACTAGAATGGTAGCAGTGTCAGAAAAAAGGGGTGTGTTTGTGAAATCAACAGACCCTGGCAACAGATTGGCGGGGGATGAGGATAGAGGTGAGAGATAGTGAGGAATACAGAATAAGCCCTAGGTTGCAAGCCTGAGCGAATGGAAGGATACTTTTGTCCTTTACAATGATAGGGACCATGGAGGGAGGGGGCAGGATTTAGGGTTTAGGGGAAAAGATAATGAATTCCATTTTGGATATATTGAGTTTAAGATATCTACTGGACATTCAGTTTGAGAAGCCTGAAAGACTGTTGGAGATATGAGTTGGGAAGTTAGCAGAGAGTTCAGAGGCAGAAAGATTTGAGAATCGTCAGTGTAGAGAAGGTAATTGAATTCATGGGATTTGATTAGATCACCAAATGAAGTAGTATAGAGGGAGAATAAAAGAGAGCACAGAAGAACCCTAAGCATGGGCATGATTTGGAAGAGGATCCAGCAAAAGAGACAGAAAATGAATGCTCTGATAATTAGGAGAACTAGGAATGAGTAATGTCCTGAAACCTAGAAAGAAGAGTATAAAGGAGGAGAGAGTGATCAAAGGCTACATAGAGGTAAAACAAATTTTGGATCTATGAAAGGAAAAATCTCCTAACAATTAGAGATGTTCAAAAATGTGGGGAGGGTTTATTTGTGCTACTTCAGTTGGTTATGTGTTCTTCATTACTGGAGGTGCCCAAGCAGGGGTTAGATGACAACTTGTCAGGGATTTGTAGTGTAATTTCTTATTTCACACAGGGGTTCTACTATATGATGTCGACGGTGCTTCCCAGTATTAAGATTCCATGATTGTAAAACGCAAAACAATTTTCTAGGATAGAAGCATCTATATCAGAGATCAAAACTCAAACCCAATAAAGGGTCAAATGATCATAATTTGAAAAAAAAAACAGGCATAGGAAGGGTTCCAGATTTATGCTTTTACCCCTAGGTTGGAAACTATTTCTACTGATGCAAAGTATCAGCATGCTTATAACTTAGACTGTTTAGAAATTTGCATCTGGCACTGAATGACTTTCATGCAGTCCCAATGCTAAATATACCAGAGGTTTAACTTGAACAAAGGACTTCTGGACTCCTTTCTAGCCTATGGTCTACTACAACACTGTCTCTCACGTTCAGAACATTTCTTAATAAAGATAAGATTTGATTTCATTATTATTTTCTTATGCCCTACTATTACGATATCATAACTCTATGATTATGAAAGATATAGAGGACTCCTGACAACAAGGTCCCTTCCAGTTGGTTGAGTATTTGCACCTCAATTACTTGCTGTAAATGATTTGCCTCACTTTGAATATTGAGATTTTCTTTCTCTTTTCTAATTTTGATGCAGGGAAGATTTTTCTACAAATCATTCAAACAGAATACTAGAGAGAGAATGTGATAAAGGGGACAGAATAAGCAACATTGTACCATCAACAAAATTCTTGCTTATATAACACCAAAAACCTTTTTGCCCCAATGTGTTGCTCCAGGGTGTTTGGCAGTTCCAAGGATTTTTCAGAAATTCACTCAAAATTCCTTGCTTTCAAAAATTCTCTTGGAAAGATTTTCCTTTGATAATAGGAATTCACATTCACATAGCATCTTATAGTGCATAAAAGTAGTTACTTACGTTAGCTATTTGGATCATCACAACAGCCTTCAGTTTTCCCCATTCTACAAGTGAGAAGTTTCCATCCTCCACAGAGGCTAGGAGCACTCAAGTGACTTGTATATTGGCATACAGTGACAGAGCCAGGACTTAAGGAGGCAGACTGAACTCACACCCAGAGCTTCTGACCCCACATCCAGTCTGCTTTCCACCACAGTAACATCCATTTTAGTGAACTATAAAAAACCTGAGAGTAAAAGATACTGCTGTGTAGTGTCTCTCTTTCCTCTAGATCAGAGGTGTCAAAAATGTGACCAACAGGCCACATGGAGTCTACAACATTCCAGCGCAGTGGGAACTAGATTAAATGTAATCAGGAATTATGTAATGATAATAACAAAAAAAAAACCCATAAAACATAGATAATATCAATATGTGGCTTTCTAAGTCAATATGTATCCTGGATGGATCCTTATGTATGACAGTGACCTCGGTTTCCATTTGAGCTTAATACCACTGCTCTAGACGTGCTCCAGAATGTCAAGGTTCCCTCCCATGTATGCCTAAAACTGAATTATGTGTATAAAGAATCTATTCTAGTATGCACATACATTTGTTTTTATGCTCATTTCCACCCAAAAATCCTACCTTCTATAGGAAGCCTCCTTAACCCCTCTTAATTACATTTTCATTCTTCTAATTATTTCCTATTTATCCTATATAGCTTGCTTTGTATATATTTCTTTTTGTGTTGTCTCCCCCATTAGATTGTAAGCTCCTTGAGGTCAGGGACTGTCCTTTGCCTCTTTTTGTATCCTTAACACTTAGCACAGTGCTGGCACATAGTCGGCACTTAAAAATGTTTGCTAAATTGAATTAAATGAAAATCCCCTTTAATTATTAACAATCTCTCCTTCCCCCAAACCCCATGGACCTTAAATTATAAAACCTTCCCTATCCCCCAACTGAAATACAATGCAGAGGAAGAAAGAAGAGTACATTGATGACAGGCATAATTTAAGAGATTTTAAGCTTTCAAGTAGAAGGGTGTTTACATTCAGACTATTTGGACCATTTTCACATGTAAGATAGTTAGAAATTGCAGCACTGCATCCATCATTTCAAAACTGTTCTTGTGACATTGGTTTTCTCAATTGCCAGGCTTTTCCTTCTGGAGGCTTTCCCGAAATAATTTCACCCTTCCTTGGATTTCTTTCAGAGAAACAATTTTCTGCTCCAAGATGGACTCTAACTGGGCAGCACAGAAATCTACATCAAAGCTTATTCCATCTGCCATCTCTAAAAAGGCTCTGAGCCACTGGCTGGATTCATTGCATGATACTGAATTTTTTTTAACTGATTTTAAAGATGTCACCTGCTCTTCATCTTCCTCATCCTCTTCTTCCTCACTCTGTAAAAATATTTTATAATCTCTCTTCTCTTGGGTCCCTACAGGGGTCACAATGTGTTTATCTAGTAGTCTTGACTCCTGGTGCCCATGTGGATGGAGATAGCCTAAGAGCCTAGCATCAAGAGTTAATTCCTTCACTCGGTTTGCATACCTTAAAGTATTGAGAGTGTTTTCACAAGAACTCAGCCCTGGAGAGATTGTAGCAATCATACAGGTGGAGGAGTTCTGGCCTATAAATGAGTCCCTAAGCACCTGTGTCAGTTTACTGGCTCTGAATGGGGTGTGAGGCTGACTTTGTCCCAATGCCCTTATACACTCTTTGAGTGCCAAGAGACTTTTGTTTATCTCTGCCCCTTCTAGCTGCCTCTGCTTGTTGGTTCTGCAGGTGTCTGCTCCCCTTTCATTCCCAGCTAAGTCAATGAGGGAAAATTTTCCATGTAGTTTCCCTCTCCTCTTAAGGATGATCTGAAACACTGCATGACTCCGAGAAGAGTGGGCATTGACAGATGTCTGGCCTGAAGTTCGGTAGCTGCTGCCTAGCTCAATGAGGTTCAGCACATCTTCTACACAGCACACTTCCTGTTCCTGCAGTCCCAAAACCTGGATTTGTTGCTTGGCATCCTCAAGGACCTTGAGTTTCTTCTTCCAGTTCAGTAAATCATAGACTTTGCCCCCATAAATCTCAAAAAATGTCCCATAGACCTTCAGGTCCAACTTCTCGTAAGTGGGCTTCTTGAGCATTAAGAAGACATCCTCAGCCACTAAAGCATAGATGCCTTTGGAGCAGTCCTGGTTTCTGCCAAAAATGTCCCCTCCCATGGTGTGGGTTTTTCCACTGCCTGTCTGACCATAGGCAAAGCAAGTGGCCATACCTCTGTGGAAGATGTTCTCCACCAGTGGCTGTGCAGTGAATCTGTACACAAACTCATTGGAGGCAGTGTCATCGAAAGCATGGTCAAAGCGGAAGGTGTGGTGCTCAAGGTAGTGGGTTAGATCTACCTTCTGCTTGGACTCATGCACCATGACCACGTTGCTGGTTGGGATGGTAATGATGTCCAAGTCTTTCAACAGGGTTTCTTGCTCATTGAGTGGCCTCTTGCGAACACAAACACAGATTCGGTGGTCATCTGTGGTTTCAGAGTTGAGCATCTTGGAGTAGTCCATCTGCCTACGGTACTCCTGAATCATACACATGATTTCGTAGTTAGGACTAACGACATTGACATTTAGGGCTTTCTTGGCCTGAAATTCCAGCAACTGCTGTCTCCGCTTCTCCCGCTGCTTCTGTAGTTTCTCAATCTCCCGTAGGCAGTATGACTTCCTCTGCTTCACCAGAATAGGTTCATTGAAGATCACTGCATTGTCCCCCGAAGCCGTCTCCTTCTTCTGTGGGTGCACCATCCAGTGGTTTGTCAAGCTCTTATTGCCCTTGGCCGAATAGAGCTCGGACAATGGCAACTGGAATTGGATTCTACATGACTCGGGGTATTCTGGAAGGGCCAGTCCCGGGTTCAGCAGGAACAGAGTGGCTAGATCGACCTTCTTGCCCTTGTTGGTGCCCTTCTCGATCCACTCCACTGTCACGCTGTTGTTGTTGACGGAAGCGACGACTGCAGGATGGACCCTCCCATCACTCCTCCTGATGTTTAAGGAGATGCCGTTGTGAATCGATCCAAAGTGTGGACTCATGCATTTCAGAGAAGTGGAGCCAGGTGAGGCGTGAAAAGACAACTGGCTGGCCGTGGTGGATGGTGGAAAGACTTGGACCCAGGGTCGAACTGCCTCAGCAGGGGTGCTGGAAGTGGGGCAGGCAGGACCTGAGTCATCCAGAAGTGCAAGGACGTAGCGCCGAAGAGTTGGAGGGTCCTTTAGGAGGGCGGGGCTGTGTGAATGGGGGTGCAGCGCACAGGACAGCCAGGTGTGCAGCAACTGGCGTCACAATGAGGGCGGGGAGGCTCAGGTGCCAAGGTCTGCTTCGCCCACGTCATGGGAGAAATATCCAGAGCTCAAGGTCTAATTAGAGCTCAAGGGAGCCCCAGAATCCAGGGCTGCGCCAGTGCTTGGACAGGAGGTAGGGAGCGCATACTCAATGTTCTGCTTGAGACTTCCCCCAGTCCAGTCTGTTCAGGGTTATGATATGCCTGAAGCCCCAGCGCAGAGGTGGCCAATCACCTTTAGGGATTTTTTTTTTCAAAGAGGGAGAGGTAAGCACCTGTGCAGGGGCAAAGGCGACTTCCCGTCCCCCACCCCCCACACCCCGTGGTTCTGGTTGGATTTGGAGGGAGGCTCCAGTTGTTAGGTTGTATTCTTTATAAAAAGCCACAGACCCTTTTCTTTTAAATCAAATCAATAAGCATTTATTAAGTGCCTGGTATGTGCCAGTCACTGTACTGTGTTGGGCATACAAAAAAAAGACAAAAGACAGTCTATGCTCTGAGGGAGCTAACACTATAATATGAAATACAATGTTCGAACAACTACATACAAACTATAGACGGTATGAATTTTTAAAATAGAGAAGGGTCTAGAAAAGTGGTGGGGAACTTGTGGCCTGAAGGCCACATTAGGGCCACACTTGAGTACCTAGAGGACCACATATGGCCTCAAGGTCTCAGATTCCCCACCTCTGGTCTAGAATTAAGGAAGATTGGAAAAGGCTTATCTTAATCAGTGGATCTTAGCTGAGCTCTAAATAAAGCTAAGGAAGCCAGGAGGTGAAGATATGGAGGGAGAGAATGTCCTGGGTCTGTAGCCTCAACCCTATGAAAAGTGCAGTGAGATTGTTTCCCCCTCAGGTCTTCCCTTTCCCCAAGCCTCCATTACATACACAACCACATAAAATACTGTAAACAATTACAGTATTACACAAATGATAGTGTCCAGAGGTTGTAACTGCAAAATAGGAAACTATAAACTTTAGGAACTCATCAGAAGACCTCCAAAAGCTATGTCTTCTGTCTATATCCTCCAAAAACAATTTGAAAACTTTTGAAAAATGTGGACGATCACAGTTGGGAAAAAAAACTGGAAGGATCTGGGACTCCCCCCACCCCAAAATGTCTACCAAGACAGATTTCAACCTTCAATAATGTCCCTAAAGTGTTTATGTCACTATTTTGCCCAAGAAGCCTATTGTTTTCTAGTTGACTCTAGGAAAAATATAAATCTGAGTTAAGCATTTAAAACCCATTAGAATTTGGCCATAATTTCCTTTTCCAGGCTTATTATACATTATTCAACTTAAATCATTCAATCAATAGACATTTATTAAGCCCCTACTGTGTGCCAGGCATTGTGCTAAGTGCTAAATCTCAGCCAAACTGTCCTACCTTTTGTTCACTGGTCATAATATTCCATCATGAGATTCCACCTGAGCCCTAACTATCCCCTATGTTTAGCATACATTTCCTCTTTACCTCAACATTATCCAACGTATAAGACTTAACTCCTATTTGAAACCTATCCTAATCTCCCGGGTGTTTACTGCCTTGCCCTGCAAAATTACTTTGTATTATTTTGTGGCTATTGTTCTTTCCATTTACATAGTTGCATTCATTGTGTATCTTATTTACTTAGTTTTGCTTTCTTTCTTGTGAGAACTGTTTATTCATATCCTGTAACTACTTTTTGGGATGGTTTTTGGTTTAATGTATATTTGTTTGCATATATATGCATATATGTGTATAATGCACATTATATATATAATGTATATATACATATGTATAAATGTGTATTATGCACATATGTGTGCTATTTTTACACGTATCTTGATTAAGAAACCATCATCTGAAAAAGTTGATACAAAGATTTTCCCCCTATTCTACCATTTTCCCTCTTATTCTAGATAAACAGGTGCATTACTTTTGTAGAGGCAGCCAGATGGTTCAATGGGTAAATCTCTGGGCCTGGGAATCAGACTGAAGTGAGTTCAAATCTAGCCTCAATATATATATTAGTTGTGTGATCCTGGGCAAGTCACTTAACTTAGTTTCTTTACCTATAAAATGAACTAGAGAAGGAAATGTCAAACCACTCCATATTTTTGCCAAGAAAACACCAAATGGGGTCATGAAGAGTCAGACATGACTGAAACAATTGAACAACAATTATCTTTAATATATATTCTATCCTTCCCTCTGTACCCTCTCCCTGTTTTGAGAAAGCAAGCAATTTGATATAGGTTATACATGTACAGACACGCAAAACATATTTCTACATTAGTCATGTTGCGAAAGAAAACATAAACATAACCCCTCCTCCGAATTTTTTTCAAGTGTTCTTGGATGTGCATTCAGACTCCACCAGTTCTTTCCTGGAGGCAGATATCATTTTTCATCATGAGTCCTTCAAAATTGTCTTGGATTATTGTATTGATGAAAATAGTTTAGTCATTCACAGTTGATCATCATACAATGTTGTTGTTACTGTGTACAATGTTCTCTTGCCTCTGCTCAATTCACTTTGCACCAGTTCATGTAAGTCTTTCCAGGTTTTTCTGAAAGTATCCCGCTTGCCATCTCTTATAGCACAATAGTATTCCATCACAATCATATACCACAACTTATTCAGCCGTTTCCCCAATTTATGGGATTCCCCTCAATTTCCAATTTTTTGCCACCATAAAAAGAGGTGCTGTAAATTTTGTACATATAAGTCATTTTCCCTTTTTTTGGTATCTTTGGGATACAGATGACAGGGTCTTTTATAACAATTAGCAAGATGAAGAAGAAAGAGGAGGAGGAGGGGGAAGAGGAGGAGCAGAAAGAGAAGAAGGAGGAGCAGGAGAAGGAGAAGTAAAAATAAACTATATGCCTATCAACTGCAGAATGGTTAAACAAACTCTGCTACATGAATATAATGAGATATTAATGTGACATAAGCAATGATGAATATGAAAAATACAGAGGATGAGAGAATGTTATGAATGGATTCAAAATGAGATAAGCAGAACCAGGGACACAATATATATAAAGACTACAACAGTGTAAATGGGAAAAAAAATCAATGCAAAAATGAAAACTTTGTAATTATAATTACCAAATATGGTCTCACAGAAGAGATGAGAAAATGTATTTGTCTCCCTTTCTTTGCAGAGCTGGGGAACGATGGGGTATGAAACATTATATATGGTTGCAAACTCAGTTGAAGTTATTGGTTATTTTTATTGTATTAATTTTTTTATTCTTTGTTTCAAGAGATGGCCATTTGAAAGTGACAAAAATAAAAACATACCAATACAAATAAAAAGAATATAGAACATATCTTTCCTTACTGGCAGAAAAAAATAGTGTCCTTTTTTTTTCTTTTTTTTTTTTATAAATGATTTAGTAGAATCATAATCAAAGACAGTGTGATGTAGTTTTGCTGTCAGGAAGAAATGGGTTCCAGTGTGCTTCTGACACATACTAGCTGTGTTACTCTTCTCAAGTTACTTAACCTCTCTGTATCCCACACAATCCTCTGAGACTGTGAGTTACAGAAGAGTTGTTCATCTATATCCAGGAGAGTTTCCACATGGGAAGTTTCTGATACCAATAAAATCACAGACACCTCCCCTTCCCCACCCCTCCCACACACACACCCTCATTCCTGCAAATGTAGTCAGGAGAGAACATCTATACATGAATTAGAAAAGAATCATTACAGTACTTAGGACAGTACTTTGCAAATAGTATGAACTTTGTAAACACATTATTTACAGATAGATGAATATTGACTACATGAATAGAAAGTAGAATCCATAGAGTTGATGAGAAATTGCTTACTATGAGGCTAAAAAAATTGACGGGAGTTAGCAGGAGTTGAATAACCTCTCTAACACATTTTTTTCTTTTTAATAATCATGTATCCCTGGTAAAATGACTCATTATCAGCCATGATGGAGGAACTGTTTCATGGAATAGAATTTCAGAATGGAAAGAGACCTATGAGATCATCTGTTGTAACCCTCTTATTTAAGAAATAAGGAAACTGAGGACTGGTGAGATTAAGGGGCTTATTCTACCTCACAAGACATCAAATTAGTGAATGAAATTAGTTATGACCTTGGGGGGCAGGGGGAATATAACTTTTGTAAAAGCGAAATAACTTTAAATCAGGAAAAATAGACAAATACTGTATTTAATCAGTATTTACTCTTTATCCATAATTGTGATAGATTAGTTAGACATTTTTAAAGATAAAGACTATTGCATATTTTAAAAGTATTAGACATGATCCCTGCCTACAATGAACTTAAAGACGCTTGCTAAATGGCTTTAGCTACTAAGGATGTTTGTAGTAGACATAACCAAATGATGTAACCTGTTTATTTAAAATTGCTTCTGTCTCCAAATCTCCTCAGGTGGTGTATTTTTTTTTTTTTTGAGGCTAGAACAGTTTTACCTTCTTACCTTCAGAAAATGAGCTAAGTCATTTGCATTGATTAGTTACAGGTATAGTCCTAGTTTGGAGCCTGTCAAGATTGTTTTAACCGAGGGAATGTGATTTCGAGTCTCATTTTAAGTACTCATCTCCCAGGAGAGATACATCAGAGAAGCAGCCTTTGGGCATGATCCTCAATCGACACCCAGCAGCTGTTCCCTTTGTTTGATCCCTCCTCGGGGTTGGGGATGGGGATGGGGCGAGAGCTGAAGGAAAGGGTCTGGGTTTCCCTGGTACATGGAAACAACCTGGAGTTGATTTTGTGCTTCAGAAGT